GGGTTTGAACCGCCAGCCGTCTGGTTAGCAGGCAAGTATCTTAGCCACTATGCTACCAGAGCTCATTTTGGTAAGATTTTGTTTGGTTCGCCTTACCACCACGCCTTAGCTATGCATTTGTATGCAGTGTCGTTTTCGGACGCCGTTTCTCCCTCCTATCCTGGACTTTTCTCTCCTGCAGCCCCGTCTCATTCTAAGGGGCCAAAACCATGCATCTGTCCCGGCCCCGGAAGTCACACGCGACCAGCACCGTTACATAATTTCCGGACACGGCTTACTTCCGGGAAAGACACGGAAGTGCTGGCAGGCCCCGGCAGCTAGTTTCGTTTATAGAGTTTACGGCCCTGTTTTTGGATTTGGTGACATCCTGAAAGCCCCTTTCTGCGCGCGAGGAACAGTCGAGGCCAGCGCTATCGTTCGTTCTAGGAGCTGATGTCGGCCGCGTCCTGGAGGCCCCGTAGCGGGGCCGGACCATGAGCTTGCTGGGCGGCCTTACTTCCTCTCCTCGGACCCTGCTGCAATCCAGCAAGGCCAGGATGAAAAAGCTCCCAAAGAAAAGCCAGAACGAGAAGTACCGGCTGAAGTACCTGCGGCTGCGGAAGGCGGCCAAAGCCACCGTGTTTGTGAGTCTGACTGTCGCTTACCATCTCTCTGCCTCCAGATTCCTTCCTTGAGAAATGTTTTCCCAAGCTGTTCCCTTTCCCAACCAAACCAAACTCATTGCCATTGATTCCATAGAGAATCGTAGAGACCCTGTAGGACAAAGTAGAATTGCCTCAGAGGGTTTCCAAGATTGTAAATCTTTGTGGAAGCGGACTGCCACATCTTTCTTCCCCAGAGTGCCTGGTGGGTTGGAGCTGCAGACTTCAGTTTAGAAACCAGCCTAACTCTTTGAGCACTGCGCCTCCAGGGCACCTTCCAGGAATCATGGCATTATTAACGCATTGGTTCCTTTTGCAGTATACAGTACTGCTTGTTAGCCTTGTGTCCTTGGACAAATTACGTAATTTCTGTGCTCTTCTGTTTCCTCATTCTCCAGACAACTGAGAAGTAGGCACTTTTTTAAAAAATGAGAGCATTGCTTAAAGCCATTTTCAAAGCACTGACTCCAGCTTGGATATCCTGATTCAGGTTCTATTATTTTCACTACATAGCCTGTTTCTCAAGCACCTCGTATAAATATTTTAACTGATCCCATTGCCTAAATAGGCACTTGAAGCTTTCTGTAATTTCCCCTTTCCAACCTTCTTTGAGTGTACCAAGCGTTTGTACCGTTTTTATTATAGAGGCACTGAGTTGAATGAATCAACTGGTTTGCCAGCCACAACTTCGTATTAAGATACCCTAGCCGCTCAAGGAAGATGGGGCAATCTACTTCCGTAGTGATACCGCCTCGGAAACCCAAGGAGGGGTCGCTATGAGTCAGGTCCTACTGGACGGCACATAACAACAGCAGCTTGCTTGAGCTTGCATCAGAGCTGGAAAATAGGGAGTTCTCAAATGTCTTTCCACCTCTGAATGAACACTTTACCTCTTCTTCCAAAGCATTTCCTTCAGCATTTGCAATGTGCACAGGAGAGAAATAATTAGAATTGAGAGGACTTAACTTCTGATTGTTCCCTTTATTTTATCCCCTACAATTCAAAGGTACTTGAAGCTTGGAGTCTATGTTATTTGAAGGATGTTGGTTCCATCAAGTACATAAAGAAGGTTTTGTGAAGAAAAGGAATATTGTTTCAAACAAAGTTTGAAGCCCCCACTATGGAACATCCACATTGGAACATTCACTTCAGGATTAGTGCTCAGGAGATAGATTAAGTCATCCAAAAAGAGAAGTGATTAATAAGTACGTTAAAAAGTTCCCATCTAGTTTTTTTCCTAAGATTCTCATTGCATGGGATGCTTTAGATTAGATTAGCTTTATAAACTCCCCAAGAGTTAAGGCACTTAGAAGTGGACAGTACTCAATAGTATTAAATTTAAGCATCTACGGATTTAAGAAATATGCCCCTTTTCTCTGCCACAAGCTTACCTGATTAGGTAAACAAGATGGCCACCATCTTGTTTTTCCAAAACAGTCTTGGTTTACACTTAACTGTTCTGACACAAACATTACTACTGCTCCTTTTTTACTCTCAAAGATGCCCCAGTTTGGGTAATAAATTATGTGGTAATCCAACCCATAGTAGAATATGACTCCGCCCACCATTAGCTATAGATTTATTTATAGCTTGCAAAGTAGAATAGCTCTTCTCACCTAGCAACACAGACTATTTTGATTTGAAATAATGGATCCTCTTCTCAACATAATCCTTTGATCTTTATTTTATGTGATTATGTTCAAATGAAAATTTTTCTTAAAGGAAAATGCTGCTATTTGTGATGAAATTGCTCGTCTTGAAGAAAAATTTCTTAAAGCAAAAGAAGAAAGAAGGTGAGCTGGCTTCACTTTATTTCAGAATCACATTTTTGGTGATTGATATGGACTCTGTTATTGTTGTAGGGAATGGCACAGCCATTTGACTGTTTGATCAAGTACAGAAAAATTCATAGTCTGTGATATTTGTGCTTACTTACCCAAGTTGTGTTGGACCATGGAAATGAAACAGCTCTTCTATTGATTATTCTAACAAAGCCCTCTTGCTACATCTGATAAGTAATCTTTTGGACTCCCCAGTTATAAAAGCCAAGATAAACTACTGTTCATTCGACAAGTATTTTTTATGTGTGTAAACCCAGTGTAGAGCACAGTGGGTACATACACATAATTCATGGTGTATGCCCTTCAGAATCCTGATAACCTTCCAACATCAAGGGAGAGGAACTTTCCATATGCAATAGAAATAAGCTATAATTCTTATCATTGGCTTCTTGAGTATGGATTAAGGACTTTATTTAGTATTCCCAATGAGGAATAAGAACCTTTTTTTTCTGCATACACTAATATTTGTACATAATTCTGGTTTCACCAATATTTGAGCAAAATATTAAATTGATATAAAATAGAAGTTCTTAACTCTGCTTCCTTTCTTTCCTGACTACAGGTACTTGCTAAAGAAGCTCCTCCAGCTTCAGGCTCTCACTGAAGGGGAAGCACAGGCTGCAGCTCCTTCCCACAGCACCAGTTTGCCCCTGACATATGGTGTGTCCAGCTCTGTGGGAACTATACAGGGACCTGGGCCCATTCCTGGGCCCAGCACTGGGGCTGAGGAACCATTTGGGAAGAAATCCAAGAAGGAGAAAAAAGAAAAAGGCAAAGAGAACAACAAACTGGAAGGTACCGTGGGGGAAGGATAGCAGTTGCTCCAGTGACTTCAAACACTAATGACAAAGACCTGGTACTAACTAGTAGACACACACAGAGTCATGGAGAGACTTAAGCGCTCATCGGCTCCTGAAGCACCCCTAAAAGCTCTTTAGAAGCAAGTGTATTCGAGCTACTTTGGGTGGAGAAATTCTATTAGAACTGGTTAAATGCAAAGGGAGCTCTGATAATTAGACAAAAATGAATTTCCTCCTCCATGTGTCCCCAACTCTTTGGGTTGCATTTGATTCAGTCTTTCCTAGACATGGAAATGGGCTCAGTGGCCTATTGAGCACACAGCTAACTTGGGAAATTTCTAATCTTAGAAATGAAATAAGAGAACTCAAAGAGTATAAGGCTTTTATCTGCTAAGTGCTAATAATACAGTTGGTAAGTAGGTCAGAAAGATACTCAGGGCTTTGGGAAAATGTCCTACGTGCCCATTCAATGTGTATGTAGAACCAGTATTGGCATATTGTGGTAGCATTCACGTATAAATTATTCCCTTACCCTCAGCACTGGGAGGGACCTAAAGTGGGTGACCCCAGATTTGCGTTTCAGTTCTGAAGAAAACATCCAAGAAAAAGAAAATGGAGGGAGGTGCTCGCAAGCTGGTTCAGCCCATTGCCCTGGATCCCTCAGGACGGCCTGTGTTCCCCATCGGACTGGGGGGTCTAACAGTATATAGCCTGGGGGAGGTGAGTGAGACCAGCGATGTATAGAGAGGAGAATCAGAGAAGTATGGGAATGGGGCTGAGCCTTCCTCCCTATTCCCATGAGCAGCAGCTCCTTGATTCATATCAGCCCTAGCAAATCTCTGCTCCCTAGGAAACCAGGTCAGTTTTGTCTGCTATACAATCTATGCTCGCTGTGTCTCTGTCTGTCTGTCTCTCTCTCTCTCACTCTCTCTCTCTCTCTCTCTCTCTCATTTGACTCACTCTTTGTAGCCTCGAAGTTGTTCTAGAGGCTACTAGAGTAAAACGTCTAAATTCTCCAATGAGCTCAATATCAGGTCGGGGGAATCTTTTTATAGATCATCACCGACCGACCTGGCTTTCATGATGAAAGTGCCATCTACCCTGTGGGCTACTGCAGTACTCGAGTATATGCCAGTATGAAGTGCCCAGACCAGAAGTGTCTGTATACATGTCAGATCAAGGATGGTGGTGTGCAGCCACAGGTACCCACTCTTTTTGTTCCCCTTTTGAGAGCCTTCCCTATGCCTGGTACTTTATATGCATTAACTTATGCTGACAACTTACAGAGTAGATACTGTACAATCTCCACTTGGGTTAAACCAAAGGTATAGAAAAGTGATCAGCCCTAAGTCCCACCTCTACCAAGTGACTGGGCTTAAATGTAAATCTATATCTAATCCCCAAACTGGTGGCCTTTCCCTTGAACCATATTGTGTCTAATGTCAGCCTTTTAACTATGTGAACTCTTGATAGCCCAGCTTATTTGTGAAGTGCAGGCCCATACTCGGAATATTTGATACTCTGCCATTTCAGGATGGATCAAAAAAGGAGGTAGCAGGGAAACTACCTGTTAGTTTCTGCACACACTTTTAAGGGCCTGGAGTCCTGAGTCCTAATATGATTAAAAGCCTTTGTTCATTCTTGTCAGTGCTAAGATTCAAGCCAGTTCATTTTCCCCAGTTATGTCACGTCTGATAATTAGAAAAACAGGAACCATTTTCAGAATTCCAGGCTTCACTGTCTGATGATATTATAGATGACTGAAAAACTGGATGGAAAGAAGTAGAGGCAAGGTACTCAGAAACCTCTGAGCAGAAGCTTGGAGAACCTGAACCTACCTGACTCATTTGGATAATACTGCATTACTTCTGTCTTGGTTACAGCAATGTTAACGCATCTGAGAGTTCATACGGCCTTGGTCATGCAGCAGTTCTCTTGAGAGAATATTCAACATTGTATACTGCTCAGTAATGCAGTAGTATACAATATTTATAACATTGTTGAATGCAAATCTAATAAAAATCCTACTAGAAACTTAGTGGAATTAACAAGTTGATTCTTAATTTCATCTGAAAGATAAAATGATAAAATATATTTGAAAATGAAAAATCTATGGGGCTTTTAGTTTTCTTTTTTCAGCTTATTAACCCTTCTGGACATTATTTTTAGGTATGTTGTGAGCTAGGGATCTAGTAATTTTTTTTTTTTCCCACTAGCATCAAGTGATACCCTTGGTATATACTAAATACATACAATACTTGGGAGGGCAGCTTGTTAGTATCTACCAATAACTTTAATATGTGTACATTTTGACCCCAAATACTTCTAGATACTCTGGTATCCCCTAAAGACAGATGCAGATGTTAACAAAGAGTTACATAGCAAGGTACAATACAGCATTATTTGCAATAGCAAGAAATTAGACATAACTGCTCATTAGTAGAAGCATTAAGTAAATTATGGTATATTCACCCTGTGGAATATTATACAACAGTTAAAAGAATAAAGTAGATGTATACATACTAACATAGAAAGGTCTTCAAGACCAAAGCATGACATTTTCATCTTCCTTCTTTGCTCAAATAGGATAGTTTGCACACATTGCAAAAAGAATATAGTAATAATAATGGCAGTTGAGAAGACCAAAACTAAATAGGAGAGCAGTTCTGGAATATTTGAAGATAATTGCTCATTGTTTTCATGAATTAGCAGAGAAATAAATATAAATTATCTTAAACTCACAATGTGTGTACTAGTTGAAATAACAAAACTGTCAATAACTAAAACTCACAAGATAATTGGTTTCTAAAATTTGACAGAGTAAACTTGAAATAAATGAAATAATAACCACAAAAGAAAACAGTAGTAGAAACTACTCGGTAAAATACTGATGAACATCGTTATTGGGGTAAAAAAAAATTATACAGAATAAAAATTAATCCTCTTCAAAATAATTTGAATAAAGTAAAGAAACAGTTGGAAACTGTTTAACTATACTTCATCAGAAACTGGGCAGGAAATTAAGTTATAGAGCTTATTACAGAAATACTTCCTTGGCAAAAATTCCTTAGTTTTAATATAATTTTGATGTAACAGTTTCTTTTTATAAACACAGTCAAGCTATTTTGCAATTTAAAAATTAAAGAAAATGAAAGAGTTTACATTCAAAATGTACAGTAAGTCAAAGATTACAACCAAAGTGATCGCATTTGTTTTAAAATACCATTTGTATTTTGTACATATAGATATAAGTAACTTGCAAAAGGTACGTAACAAATTAGATGTGAACTTCGGGAGAGCAGTCAGCCAAGGCGTGTGGACTTTCACTTTTTACTTAGATTTGTTGGAATTTTTAACAGTCCAATATGAAATTGTTCCATCACTTAATATGGTACATATGGGCTTCAAGTTCCAGAACAAAGAAATAATTTATAGTTGTCTGACTTTCTGTCTACTTCTTCCTCCTTGAGGATTAATCTAATTGCTCCTTTATCTTTCCCAGTTTGAAATTGTTCCTGAAGATGACCCCCAGAATGCCATTGTCAGCTCTTCTGCAGATGCTTGTCATGCAGAACTGCTCAAGACCATAAGTGCGTCTATGTAAGTTGGCCAGCAGATTGAAGTCAGGCCAAAAGGATTACTTTTGGTATCAAAAGCTAAACCAGGCTAACTGCCATCAAGTCAGTTCTGACTTGTAGCAACCCCCATTGGGTTTCCAAGACTGTAATTCTTCATGGAAGTAAATTATTCCATCTTACGTACACAGAGCAGCTGGTGGGTTTGAACCACTGACCTGGTTAATAGCCACATGCCTTATCCACTACACCACCAGAGCTCCTTTTAGTACAGTGAGATCTTTTCTCTTCTTTTAATGAGCAGAGATCTTTTGTCTTAGAGAAACCTATCTTGCAGCCTTCAGACATCTTAGAAACTAGAGTCTTCAGAGTAGCCAAGTCAAGAAAGGATTTCATGTTCATACCCTTTCCTTTGTGAACCCATTTCCTTCACCCCCTAAGCTTTCAAACTAAAATTCTCCCTCTCCTATTTAGAGGGAAGCTAATGCCCAACTTGTTTCCATCTGGAGCTGACTTTTTTGGATTTTCTCATCCAACCATCCACAATCTAATCCAGAGTTGTCCAGGAGCTCGAAAATGTGTCAAGTAAGTGTGGTCAAATTTAATCCTTTTAGAGAAGTTCAGTAATCAGCTGGCCAGGGACCTAAGCTGGAAGTGACTGCTTTGTCCATCATGTATTTATTGAGCATTTTCTGTGTGCAAGGCATGCCTGCTTCTTACCCTCTGGACAGGTAAGTAAGAGCTAGTACCTCACACTGTGTCCTGTAATTATCATTTTCTGTGTATCATGACAGCAGGAGGTTGGGAAGTCTTACGGAATAATGTATCACTAAGGAGGCCTATATTCCTGTAGATTTTTTTTTGTTAATATATTTTTAGATATATTTGGGAGAAATATAGGAAAAAAAAAATACCTATTCACTATGTGGAGGCAGGAATGGGTTATTATGGCTAGCAAACAACTCTCAAGGAGGATTTCCTTTGATCCTGTAGTTACCAGTGGGTGAAATTTGATGTGTGTAAACCTGGAGATGGGCAGCTACCCCAAGGACTGCCAGAAAATGATGCTGCTATGAGCTTTGAAGCCTTTCAGAGACAGACCTTTGATGAGGATCAGAATGACCCCATTCTGCCAGGTATTTTAACCTTTCTGAGTTGACAGTTGACCATGTTTAGGCTACCCTCTCCTCTTCACTCATAGCTGAGCACCCAAAATATCTGAGCAATACATGTAGAAATTTTCATTGAGTTGACCATGGACAGTCCCAAGTCAGTGGAGCATCTGCTGCCCTGCAAAGATTTCTGCCATCACCCCCAGAAGACACGGAGTGCCTGTGGTCACAGAAAGGCAGGGCATACCAAGAAACTATAAAGTTTAAAAAACAAATTAGAGTGTCTCATTTTCTAGCCTAACATCAAAGCAGAACTCTATATGAAAGTTTACTGTGCAGGAACTAAAATTTCAAGTAAAAGTGTTCAGGTTTTGGCCTTGGTTCTATTATCTCTATTCCATGTACTGCCTTCACAAATGGGTGAAGTTATCAGGGGAGCAGGTATTGGGGTCAAGCTGGAAATAAGGAAAGGTAATTAAAATTTTCACTCCACCTAATGTACTGTATACCCAAGGCAAGTCACTTAACCTATTCCAACCACTTACTGTAAAAGTAAGTATCTGTCCTATCTTAACCAAACCCAGGCAAAATTGCACTGAAGATACAAGAGTGTTAAGGAACTGTAAGCACATGTATGTGTCTGATCAAAACAGTCTCCTGAGAGAGATTCCCAGACAACAGTGTAACTTAAGAACTTTTTTTTTTGGCCCCATCCAGGATCCTTGGACCTCCCAGAACTTCAGCCTGCAGCCTTTGTGTCTTACCAGCCCATGTTCCTAACACATGAGCCCTTGGTGGATACTCACCTGCAACATTTGAAGTCTACAGCACAGTGTAGCCCAACTCAGTCTTCAGATTGAATAAGGGAGCCAGACATTTTTATCCTGATGCTTTTTTTAACTAAAACTAAAACTTAAGAATATATGGAAGGCGGCAGCAATGCAGGAGTGAAGAAGATAATAAATTAACACATCTTATCATGGAGGTTCCCGTGGTGACAATTTTCCCTAGGAAGAAACGTCAGCTACTTTATTTTTAGTAATAAATTTCTCTTGACAGTTCTGATTATTTTCATCTTGTTGTAATCAGGATATAATTTCTTTTGCTTAATTATGCCTGAGGTAAACTTAACCCCTTTATAAACCAGAGTGGGAACTGTCTGCTGACTCATGTGGGAGATACTAAGATTCTAACAACCTTCTTCCCTTGATTCTTATCCTATTTCAAAGAATATTAAGTCTTAGCCCCTGCAACCCTGGCTGCTGCTTTATTTCATGACAGTATCATCAAAACCAAATCCTCTGCTTATACCCAAGCTGGAGAAAGTACAATCCAGGATACTCTGCTCATCTTTCTTTCATATTTTGCACATCTTTTGAGGGGATCAAAAAGTGAGTTCTAAAGTCTCTTCTTTTTTGCATTAATGTAAGCTTTAGGAGTCCTGGTGGCACAATGCCTAAGTGCTTAGCTGCTAACCAAAAGGTGTGCAGTTCAAACCCACCAGCCACTCCACAGGACAAAGGACCTGGCTATCTGTTTCTGTAAAGATTATAGCCTAAGAAACCTTATGTTGTTGTTTGTTGTTGTTATGTGCTGTCAAGTCAGACCTGACTCATAACGACCCCTCCTTGGGTTTCCCAGGTGGTATCACTATGGAAGTAGATTGCCCAACCTTCCTTCTGAGGAGTGGCTGATGGGTTTGAACTGCCAGCCTTCTGGTTAGCAGTCAAGTGCCTTAGGCACTACACTACCAGAGCTCCCTTTGGGGCAGTTCTACTCTGTCACATGGGGTCAACTATGAGTTGGAATCACCTGGATGGCACACAAGGTAACCTTGAATTCTGTGCAACAAAATTTTCTGAACTGAGCATTAAGGTGGAGATTTATTGTATTACCTAATCCCAATCACTACAACTGTCCCCAATACTCTGTGGGATGCCTTAGCTATCCATCCACCCAGCTACCCAGGGCTGACTGGAACGGGAGGGTACCAAAGGATCCCAAGAATAGAAGACTGCCACAGAAGACAGTGTGAATTGTTCTTCAGTTTATGTTAACTATCAGCTGAGGACAACACAGATGGGACTTGCATCTTAAGTAATAAATCTGATCAGCACAGGGAGGGGATCAAACAGCAGCTTCTAGATCACACCATGTAGCCACAGTAAACTATCAGAAACTGCTATGAATCTGATGATTCTTAATTATAGTCTTATTATAAGCTTGTATAACTTTTACAATGCAAAAAAAAAATAACATTTAGATAATACCATGTTGGGTGGGATTACTCAAAGCTGTTAACAGTTTAATGTTTTTCTTTTGTCCTTTTTCCTGTGCCTAAGTTGCTTGCACATGTTTGCACTTAAACAGAAATAATATGATGCTTTTCTCATGACAAATATCTTTATTAGTCTTTGTAAAACATAAAAAGAGCCTCATCTTCAGAAGATATTTTTAAATGTTTTAAATAAATGAGCATGTTATTTAATAAGAATCTTCACTTTGTAGGTTTCCTAGAAGGGTGTATTTCAAACTACCGATCTCAACCAAACTTAGGGAGATAAGAATTTCATCTTTTAAAATTAAATAAAGCATTAGAAGATGAGTAGTACATCAATGTAACAAAGGTAGTTTCATGAAACTTTGCTTTCCTCTATAGTGTATGTGTATTTATGTAAATATCATACATGCGTATTCCAGGGATACCTGGAATAATGTAAAATGTTTTTACTATGGATTGTGGTTTAAAAAAACTGAAAGACTGGCCGTTCACATCCACCCAGAGGTGCTTTGGAAAAAAGACCAGATGATCTACTTCTGAAAAATCAGCCACTGAAAACCTTATGGAGCACAGTTCTATTCTACTCGGACACCCATTGGTTCTCTATGAGTAGGAAGCGACTTGATGGCAATTAGTATACTTCAAGTTCTTATCTTTTTATCTATCAAATTATAAAAAAAAATAAAATTTGACAACATCTAATGCCAGTGAGAGTGAGGGAACAAAGACTATATTTTCGTAGAAATCCAAATTGTTTAATTCTTTGGGTGTTGAGTAAATTGGATGAATTATTTAACCATGGTTGTAGGTGTCAAACTGTAAACATATTTATCCTTTAACTTGTTATTTCATGTTAAGGACCCAAAAGAAATAGTTAAGACCAATGTGGAACTGTGTTCACATGTAGTGTTCACCACAGCATTGGTTTCATAGTGAAAAATTGCAAATAAGCCTTTATGTCCATTAATAGATAATTATATATATTTTTTTACACATAAAGTATTTTGCTAGGATAAGTCAAAAAGAGATTACAAAATAGTACACAGTCACACATCACTTATCTAGCTATGTTCTGTGAAATACGATGTTGCATGATTTGGATGTTGTGCAAACATCCTATCGTAGTATGGTCCTGCTTTTTCTTTAAGCATCTGGAACAAGTTTTGTGCCTTAGCAGTGATCAGTGTGCTGAGAGTGATTCACTTTTGTGTTTGGTCCTCAATCCACATCATTAGCAATCCCTCCATATCTAAGTCACTCTCAAATTTTCATTAGCATTGTAGCTTCCTGTGGAACTGATCCTGTAACAGCTTGGAGAAATTTTTTTTTGTTTTTGAGGATCATCATAATTTTCCAGTGCAACGTGCCTAAATCGAGAGCAGCAGCATTCACTGATTTTCGACCTTTGTGTTAATCATCTTTTATTTCCTTTCAAAATGGATACTTCTCCTTTGCCTTTTGCTGCTGCTATCCCAAGCACTGGTTTTGCTACATTTGAGAGCCATGATGCACTTCATGATAATATTTTCAAAAGTAAAACATAATGCTACAACACTCAACCAATACATGAGATTAGATGCTGCTCCCTACAAGTAAAAACATACTGATAAACAGTGATTGTTTTAGAAAGTACAGTACATACAAAAGCCAGTAACGGGTTTACTGTGACTATCAGGACACATGTATTACACATTTTATATGTATATACTGTGGAAGGTCAACAAAAGAGAAGGCCCTCAAAAAGATGGATTGACACAATGGCTACAATGGGCTCAGGTATAGCAGGGCTCATGGAGATGGCACAGGACATTTAATGCCAGTGAGAGTGAGGCAGTGTTTTGTTCTGTACATTGGGTTGCTGTGAGTTGGAGACAACGGCACCTAACAACAACATATAGTGTACCATTATACAAGGAGCTCTGGTGTCACAGTGGCTAGAGCATTCATCTGCTAACCGAAAGACTGGCAGTTCAAACCCACCAGTCACTTGGGAGAAAGATAAGGTAGTCTCTTCTGTAAAGATTTTAAAGCCTTGGGAACCCTATGGGGCAGTTCTACTCTGCCTATAGGGTCACTATGAGTCAGAATTGACTTAATGGCAGTGGGACTGGTACCATTACATGCCTGGCAGTACAACTGCTTTGTATACAGGAGACATGAGATACACATGTGCAGGAAGCTGTTGCATTTGCTACATCCAGTTACATGCAGTATATCCCATTCTCTGATTGGGACTTCTGAACTCTATTATAACCTTATGGGACCACAGACGTGTATGTGGTTGGTTGCCCAAATGGGCATTATAGAGCAAGCACATGACTGAATGATATAGTGTATAAAATTATATAACCCAAACAAATCAAGTGAACGTTCACCAAAATAAGTGTTTCTCTCCAAATGATGAATGTTGCAGTGATTTTACTTTTCTTTAGTGTCCAAATTGTCTAGTGTCATTTTCAACCATGAAAAAAAAAAAAA